AGAAGACCGTTTTATTAAAAAAAATCAAGAAGCTTGGCTAACTGCTGTTAGTAGCAAGCATGTGGTCTTAGCAGGCAGAGCAATGCTAGTGAAACAGAACCTCGGGGCTGGAATAGATCCTTAACAGTTACCTAATTTCCAGAGACCTTTTCCCATCTTAATCTTCCAAGTTAATTATGTAGCACCTACAGAGTGCCAGTTCTAAGCCCTGCACTGGAGATCAAGAAACAAGTAAGACAAGGACTCTGTTCATCAGCTGGTAGAAAGGGAGAGGTCAAAGATGAGGAGGAAAAAAGTACAGCAGAGTATAACTTGAGAGCTAAGAAGGGTGGACAGGATCATTGGAAGCTCAGAAGATAAGAGTATTTACCTCTCTCTACAGACTTGTGGGGAGTGAAGATCCAGACAGGGAACCTTCATAGGAGGTAACAATTTGATCTGAGCCTTTAAAGGATGAACAAGAGAGGTTGGCAGAGTTAAAAATTTGGTGGAAAAAAAAAATTTTATACAAAACTGGATTACACCAAGGCCTGTCTTAGCTTTTAAGAAAAAAATCTAAAGAAATGCTCCTGGAGCCCTTACAAAGTTTGGAGGGTAAAGGCCAGAGATAGCCCTAGTACGGATTTGGTGATCCTTTGTTGCCATTTTGCATTTTCTGCTAACAATTTTTACTCTTTTTTCTCATTGGTAACATTTGTGTGAAATGGAAAAAGTTAAATTTAACAGTATAAATAGGTTAGGATCTCCCTGGCTTATTTTTGTCATTTCAGCTCTGGTTTAGATGCATAGGTACGTTTTCCATTTCTCTAAGCAAGTAATCTGTAGTAGGAGGAACTCTGGGCTTACCATGCCTCCAGCTCCTTACCTGTTGTAAGGTATAGGCCGTCTTGACTGCTCAGATACACTTTCCTCATTTGTAATGAAATCAACTGTTTTCTTGGATTTTTTTTTTTTTTGCTTTTTTTTTTTAAAGCTCATATAAGATAGTGTATGTGGAACCAATACTATACAAATGCCTTTTTCTTTTTCCTTTTAATTATATTTTAACCATATCTTGGGTTCAGAGTATAGGTAAACCAGATCCCTTGCAAGTAATACAGAGATGAATGTGACAAATACTTCATTGGCTGCTTTATGTCAAACAATTTTTTTTTTAGTTTGTTTATTTTGAGAGAGAGAGGGAGAAAGAGAATCCCAAGCTAATAGCACAGAACCCCATGCAGGGCTCAATCCTGTGAACAGTGAGATAGTGACCTGAGCCAAAAAAAGTTGGATGCTTAACCAACTGAGCCACCCGGGCGCCCCTACATCAAACATTTTTAAGGTTGCTGGGTACAGATAGAGCTAAATAAGGTAGCCAGGTGTCTTTTCTCATGGAAATTGTCAAATATAACTTTAAGAAACTTATACTGTGATGGGAAAAGACTATATGTAACTAGTTTAATAAAGCTGTGTATTAAATGTGTGTTTTCTCTGCTACCTTATATTTATTTATTCATTTGATCTTTAGAACAATTCTACAGATATGGCCACAGTTCATCAAATCTCCGATGCCTATAAGGCATCATTTTAATGTAAATTGTAAAATGCACCCCAGTATCTGAGATGAGAAAATGTGAAAAAATGGTAAATTCAGCAGTCTGGTATTATTACCTCCATTTTACAGATGAGGAAGCAGGCACAGGGGAGGAAGGTAAGTGATTTGCTTTAGAATACCAAATTGGTCAGTAGTGGAGTCAGGATTTGAACCAGGAAGTGTGGCTCTCAAACCCGTGTACTGCTTCACATGCAGTAGGGATACATGAACTATGGGCCGAATAGAGTGGGGCCACTGACAAATCAGCGGTGGTGCAGTGAGAAGTTCAGAGGGGACTGTTAAGCTGGACTTAGACTCACAGGTGAGAGTTTCCTTATGAAGGAGGGGCGTGAAAGGAATGAGGACTTGAAGTTTCCTGTAAAGTGTAAGTGGGCATGCTCTCTCCTTTCCTCTCAGCTCCCCCAGGCCTCTGTACCTCCAGAATACCAGATTATCCACACTTACCTGTCAAAAATTGTCCATTGTGTCCTGCTACCAAGGTCCTTTGAGAGGCTCCCTTTTTAAAAGTTAACTTTCTCCTCCTATTCACACTGAAAACTTACCAGCGGCTGAGGTGGTTGATTCTTAACATCTGCAAGGTTAACATACACACACGAGTTATTCTGCCTCTGCTATTTCCCCATGTCAGCATTTACTTGTCTGAAAAACATCCTTTATTGAATTCCTGCCTTAAAGTTCTTCACAGAAAAACTTGTAATTAGTTACTAAAGATATGTGAAATCGGGTGTAAACAACATAGTTTGTTATTACAGGGATGGATGTTTGTGGGGGCCAGGCTTGTCTACCAGAATGTAATAAAATAAGCATGATGCATCATGGTTAGTTAACACAGGTGTCATCGAGCCTGTCATACTGCTTTTGTTCTATTTATTCTTTGTATCGACCCTGCTTTTAAAGAAAACTTTAAAACCTCCAAGTTACTGCATTTAATGAAAGAATTTCTTTACAAAAGGAAGCACTCCTAATAGTAATAATAGCTAATATTTATTAACCATTTCCTGTAAACCTGGCACCATTGAAAGTATTTTCCATGTAATAATGCATTTACTCCCCCAAAAAACCATGAAGTGCTATCATATTCCCTTCAGTTTGCGTATGAGGAAACTAGGGCCCAACGATCTAGTAGGCCAAAATTTGAAACCAGGAAGCTCGCCTCCAGAGCCCACACTCTTCTGTTAGGTTGCTGTAGTGCTTGTGACTATATGTTTGCAGTCTTAATAGGCTAGTTGTCCCCTTAAAAAGCTGTGGATGCTGTCCCTGCTAGAAGATGATGTTAAATACAGAAAGAAGCATCATTTTAATTGTGTTTGTCCAGTGGTAACATCTTGTGGAGATGGCTTGATTACCTTTTATTTATCACTTTTTTTTTTAATGTTTTATTTATTTCTGAGAGAGAGACAGTGTGAGCAGGGAAAGGTCAGAGAGAGGGAGATACAAATCTGAAGCAGGCTCCAGGCTCTGAGGTAGCCATCAGCACAGAGCCTGATGCGGGGACTCGAACCCACAAACAGTGAGATCATGACCTGAGCCGAAGTTGGGCGCTTAACCAACTGAGCCACCCAGGCACCCCGTCACTCTAAATTGTTATACTTTTTAAACTACCACTGAACTCTAAGGTTGCAGGTTTTAAAATGGTGCCATATTATGTGCCTTCGAGAATATTAATGATAGCTGTAAATCTGGTCTGAAAAGACTCTGGAAGTATTTTAAGTGTCTGCTGCTAATTTTATAATTTGGATGGGGATGGAGTAATAGTGCTTCTAACATTGTTACTCCTTGCTCACCCTCCCCATGCCTTTCTGTAATAACATTTTCTTATATTTTAGTCACCTACAGATTGAAGAGTGGTGCATCAACAGACATTATAAAATCTTTGTATTCCCTTTCAGAGCCTAGTATGGTTCTTATGAATTTGGTGGACACTTAATAAAACTTAGTTCAAGTTAGAGAATTGATTGACTAGAGAAAGTGATGCCTTTCCAGCAACCTCCACTAATTCCTAATTCCTCTACAATAAGTAAGCAAAAATGGCCTTTAAATAGCAAGTGTCCACAGGTAGAGCTCATACACTTTACTTACATAAAGCATTACAGGGGCACCTGGGTGGCTCAGTCAGTTAAGCATCAGACTCTTGATTTTGGCTTAGGTCATGTTCTCCTACTTTATGACATAGAACCCCATGTCAAGCTCTGCTGACTGCACAAAGCCTTCTTGGGATTCTCTCTCCCTCTCTCTGCCCCTCCTCTACTTGTTCTCTCTTTTGTCCTCTCTCAAAATAATGATCTTAAAAAAAAAAAAAAAAGCATTTTAGCCCCTTGCCACCTCTTAAATGCATTGTTAGTAGCACTTAAACCCGATAGGTTAGCCAGCTCCCGGCCAGCAGTAAGTTATTGAGGTGGGACAGGGTGCTGATGGTCTGGTAGGAATTTGTAGTTGTGGCAGTGTGGCCAGAGGAAAGACAAATACTCACATCCAAACTGCACTTAGAAGTAGCCTGAGCCCACTTAAGTCTTATATTGCTCTATACACTTTAGTTTGCTTTAAAGGTAAGTTCAAAAGAGTATCTGTCTTTTTTTAAAAAAAGGAATTATGATCATCAGACTTTGTAAGACATTTGGAGAGACCTTCTGTCAAAAGCGATCTGCAGTATTTTTGGTATGTAAAGATGAGATTTTAGGTTATCTTGAGGCATTTGCTTTATAGAAGTTGCTTTTACTTTGGGAAAGTTAAATAAATTAATGTTCCCTAATTTCAAAGACCCTGGTTGAGACAAAGTATGAATTATAATTTTGTCATTTTAATCTATCCATATATATATACTTTGCTTTTGTTATATCAGCTATGAGTTAGTGTTTAAGAAAAGAGGTTCTGGAGTCAGATCTATTTGAATCTCAGTATTTCGTTATGTGGCTGTAAACAAAATACTTCTTGAGCCTTAGTTTCCTCATGTATTCATGTAATAGTTAACAGCTATGCACAATATTTTAGGGGTTAGGGATATTAACAGTGGACTTAAAAATGTAAAAAAAAAAAAAATCCTATCCTCATGGAACTTCCATTCAAGCTGGGAGAGATAATAAAATAATATTAACAGCATTTATATTCTAGAGGTTTTTTTTTTTTTTTTTTTAAAGATGAAGGCATTGCATATAGTTTTCTATTTGTACCATGTGATAATCAGGGCATCTTATTTTTGGTGTTTGATTCTTCTCATGACAAGTTTTGTGAAGGGATAAAGTGAAGTTTTTAAGCATACTGGTTATCTAAAAACCTGATAATTAGTAATAATTTTTTATTGGTAAGGTTGAATACATTAATTTTCTCTAATATTATTGGGTGCAGAGGAGTAGAGGGATGGCAGTTAGTCTCATCAGTATGTGTTCTTTGCTTTCCTTTCCAACAGCCACCAAAAAAGACCTCTAAAAAAGAAAAACCTAAACAGAAAGCCACTCCCAAAAGTAAGAAAACTGTAAAAAGTGCTAACGTTAAGAAGGCAGATAGCAGCACCACCAAGAAGAATCAAAACAGTTCCAAAAAAGGTTAGTAATGACACAGTTGCAGCAGCTCTAAAGGTCTAATTCATATGCTATTAGAGTTTTGAAGTGTATGTTTGGAAAGTAGATAAACTGCAAAGAAAATTGGGGAAAAAGGTATACCAATTTTTTATGGTTATAATTTTTCAAAATTGACAGAAATTTCAATGCACGTTTTACACATCATTTATAGGTGGTAATTTATAATTTTACCTCATACCCCTTTGAAAATCTAATGAATGCTTGTCTTTTAGAAAGTGAATCTGAGGATAGTTCAGATGATGAACCTTTAATTAAAAAGTTGAAGAAGCCTCCTACAGATGAAGAGTTAAAAGAAACCGTGAAGAAATTACTGGCCAGTGCCAACTTGGAGGAAGTCACAATGAAGCAGATTTGCAAGGAGGTAATCGGACAAATACTTGGATTGTTCTGCTTTTATTTGAAAAATTCTTTCACTCTTCCCTCAGTTCAAAGTGAGATTTGTTTGTGCGTTCATTACTGAGCAGACGTCTGGGCTGCTCTGCGCCAGGCACTCCCACAGGTGCTGGGATGCTGCCTTAGATAAATGAGCCCGAGTCTCTGCCCTCCTGGACTTGTCTTCGTAAACAGCAGTGGGGTGTATCCAGTGAATACACTTAAAGTGATAGATTCCAGACTGCGGGGAGAACGTTCTCTTCTTAATCTGGAAACTGTTTTTATTGACGTATCCTTAGGTTGTGTTAGTTTTAAAAAGGAGAATCTCATGGACCACCATATTTTCAGCATTACTGTTGTACTAAGATGCTGTATCAGGCTCTTAGTTCAGACTTCTGTGAAGTTTTTCTGATACTCAGAAAATAAAATGACCTAGTCTTGAAGATGATTCCTTAGATTCTAGACCCCACATCAAAACTGGGAGATTTTACAATTTAGTTTCTGATGGTAAAAACCAAATTAACATTTCAAATGTACCAAAAGTGAAATATTCTATACTTTTGTTAAGACCTTGATTATTGTTTTGTTTATTCCAGTATTCACTGAGCCTCTGCTATGGACCCGACACCGGGATAGATTTGAGGGTAGAGCTGGGGAGTCTGTTACTTGGCTCTTAGGGGCCTACCGTGAGATGGGAGGAGGTGGCTGTGGTAGTAAGCTGGGGACAGTCGGTGGGGGTTGGGCTGGAAGCGTGCGGAGGGTGCCACACCACCACGGAAGGAGCTGCACCTGCCTGGGCCTGGGAGGAGGGAACATGCCTGGGCATCAGCCACTTCATACAGGGGAGCGGTATGGACCCAAGCGCATAAAATGGACAGTGACTGTGAGGAATAGTAATTAGTTTAATTTGGGTGAAAACTAGAGTTGGAAGGAAGTCTTCATAGAAGTTAGGTAAGAAGAGGAGAAGTTTTGCAGATCTAACATTGTCTTGTTGGAGAATTTAGTTTTTCCCTGAAACTAAAGGGAGAATTAGGAGGCTCGGTAGGATATTGGGAGCTGATTGACAGGGGCGTACACAGTCCAATTTTCAAGAGTCCTCTTGGACACACTGAGAAGACAGATTGAAGAGTAGGATGCGAGGCAAGACAGCCAAGTGTGTCATCATCAGAGTCACAGGGTGGCCATAATGCAAGTCAGAAATCAGGAGAGCTTGGTCAAAGGTTAGGGCGCAGCTGCGTTAACAATCTATGGGAAAAGAACGGAGGGTACGCCCTGAGGGAAAGAGGAGTTTCGTTCTGGACATTGAGAGTGAGGTGCTTGGAACATCCAAGTGGGAGAAACTGATCACTGTAATTCTCCCACGTTCGGGGAGAGAGTCAGAGTGGGCTACTGTGGGGTGTTAAAACCAGATGTCTTGATAAGGTGGCCCAAGGGAGAAGATAAAGGGTGAGAAAAGCAAAGGACATAGAGTCCTGGAGACTCATCGAGTTGAGAAGTAATTTCTCCAAAATATAGATTGTAGAGAGAGAGGTGCTGTCGAAGCCAAGAGAGAGGAGACCGTTTCCAGAAGAATCGGGAGGGGGTAGTGCCAGTTAAGAAAAGTTCATGACCTTACATGGGACAATGGGCAGTGGTTATGGAAAGCAGCTCACAGGGGGAGTAATATAAAATGCCCTGTAAACATAAAGACACACTTTCCCTACTAATGAGGAAGATAGAAATTGAAAGGGAATATCTTTGCTTATTAACTTGACAGAGTGTTTATAAAGATTAAGCAAGTTTTCGTGCTTGGCAAAGGGTATAGGGAGACATACTCATGCATGAAGTTGTAACAACTTTGGAGAATAATTAAGTAGTAGTTTAAATTTAAGTAGTTTAAATTTAAGTAGTAGTTTAAATTTATTTTTGGAATGCTATGTAGCAGTTCAAAAGAACATGGAAAAACCTTCCAGGTATGGTAAACTTTTTAAAACATCTAGAATATTATCCCATCTGTGTAAATACAAAAAAACTGTATCGCCATTGATATATATATTTATGAGTTTGTGTAGAAACTCGCTTATAAAGGTCTGGAAGAATACACAGCAAACTGGTAACTAGTTTCCTCTGAGAGGAAAGTTGAGGAAAGAGTAAAGGGAGATGAATCCTGTGCATTTGATTTTCGTGAATACCCTTAATGTAATTTTTTAAGGGGATTAACAACAGGGAGAGGTCCGGTGAGAAAGACTTGAGGGGTTCTTTGGGACGCTGCAATTAGAAGATAATTGTTCACATAGTAAGAGCTGTTTCAAGGATGGTAAATGTGAGGATTAAGTACCGTTGGATGAGATTTAATGAGTAGTGAGGAAAGTGAATAAAGCTGCCGTTTTAAACATCTTGCTGTAGAAGGGAAATCGTAGTTAACTGGGGGGTGAAGTCACAAGTTGATAAAATACTTCTTAAGGAGGTGAGGGAGAGAAAGCACATGCTTACGTTAGGCTGAGGGACTAGTGCTGGGGAAGGAGATGACCAGAAAAGGTCCCTGCAGCGGTGAACGAAAAGGGGGATATTGATGGATCCGATACAGATAGACTGGAGGGAAAGACATAGGTCAGCGTTGAAGGAATTCATGATAGTGGCTTCTTGGCCAAGAGCAAGAGGGAGGAAGGGATGAAAATGCCATTGACATGACAGGAGGACCTGCTGAGAGAAGTCGGGTTCCCGGGGAGGTTTGGACATTGGACACCATGAACTGGCGTGGGGCCAGTCTTTTAGAAGTTCTGTTTTCCCACAGCAGTGCTTCCTCTGGGTCAGCCACAGAAAAAGTGGTAGTTAGACCAGTTTAGGGGCATGGTTTTGCAGAGAAAGAGTAAGGGGTGAATGGCGGGAGCGATGTAAATGATCAACTATGTTTGCAGGACGTGGCAGACTAGCCTGTGGGCCAGATCCCTCTCACCATCTGTTTTTGTAAACAGTTTAACGTGACAGCGGCCACATCCATTCAGGTGTTGTCTGTGGCAGCTTTCACGCTACAGTCGCCCAGTTGAGTAGTTGTCACAGAAACTGTTCCTGGAAAAGCTGAAACCACTTACTGCCTGGCCCTTAACTGAAAACGCTTGCTTACCTGAACTCGTCCCCAGGAGCGAAGCAGGCAGGCCTGTGTGGAGTCGGGCCCGGGAGTGCTCGTGAGGGCAGGCCGGTGGCCGTTGACCAAAGAGAGGGACGTTTAGAGAGTGAAGTTGTAGCAGTAGAGGACCCCTGCGACCTGGATCCCCGGGACTGAACTTGGGGGACGGGGTGGAGCGGCGCACTGGAGGCTGAAGTTCATCAGACCGCCAGTGTTGGATGATGTGAGGGGCCCAGTCCGCTTACCTACCGTCTGTGTGCGGGGCTTTTCGTCGCCTGTGTGTGTGAAGTCAGCGGACACTCCCAGTAGCACAGAGGACGCTGAGCAAGTCTGTGTCCTGGTTTAGTTTCTGCTCATTTGCAGTAGTTGTATATGGTGAGCCAGAACTTAGAATGTACATGCAGCTATTTGTACACGGCCTACAGTTTTCTGTATCCAAATATAAACCGTATTACTGGATTTTTAAATCTCTTCATTTTTCTCTCTAGGTATATGAAAATTATCCTGCTTATGACCTAACTGAGAGAAAAGATTTCATAAAAACAACTGTTAAAGAGGTAAATACATCCACCTTTTCTGATTTTGATCATTTTGTATGTAGAAGACGAATTTATATGAAATACTGTGTATTTTTCAAAATACTCATGTCACTAGATCACACTTGATCCTCAAATTTTCTCAAAATAGATGGGCAAGATATTTTTCATTCCCATTCTAGAGTTTAAAAGTAAAGTCTGAATAATAGTGACAAAACTTGACCTCTGGCTCACGGCGTATACGGGCAGCCAGGCGCAGCACAGGTGCTCACACAACTACTTGAGCAGAATTCCTGTCCACCAAAGGCAGAAGATCAACCCCACAGATTTCCCAAGGCGACAGTAGTAAAACAGAAGTTGGAAGCAGCGGGGGGCATTGATTTTTGTGTTCCTAATACTGTATTTTGGATAGAGGAAAATGATGCTTCTCTCTCGTTGCAGCTGATTTCTTGAGGCAGAGGAGACAGAGGACTTGTCCCATAGACGTCAGGATCTGATTTATACCGTTAATACCAGCAAAGAGAATGTACTTCCTTTTCTAACCCTCGCGGGCGTTGTGTTGGTAGAACCTATCGCTGATCTTTTTATCTGGAGTGTTAAGTAAATTTGAGTTTGTGGTTTTAAATTGCATTTCTATGCAGTTTTTAGTTTAAAATTTTGCATGGCAGTAACTGTTACTTGCTTTTATAGCTGTATTTTGTACATTTTGGATTTCTTTATATGAGATCGTAGAGTCTTGAACCGTTGTAGTTTTTAGTGCGCTTAGTATTCGCTTGTTTCCAACATACTTTTAACCAAGTAGAAGAAACGATTCCTGACATTTATACATGCAGAGACCACGGCAGTATTTAGATGAAATGTTTTGAATACACACCTGACAGTGGCAGTGTGTTCATCATATTAAAAATGCACAGGCTTCAGCTATCCAGATGATTAAATTGGAAGTGTCTGCTGCAGATGTATATATGTCAGATTGTCAGCATGACAAAAGTGACAGATGTTATTTTTGTATTTTTAAAAACAAATTTGTTGTATATAAAGTTTTTTTATTTCTTTTGTGCAGATCAATTTTTAAACTCCTATAGGTAGGTGTCTTTGCAGTTATAAACTGAACCGTCAGTGTTGGGCCGGATGGTATATGACAGAGCAGCGAACTCAGTGGAGGAAACACTGAAGGAACGGGTCGTTCTCTGTCTGCCTCGGAAGTGTCATCAGTTTGTAGTCTGAGTGTAAACTCTGCAAGTGTCTGTAGATACATTTTATATTAAGGATACACCAAACCAACACATCAGAACTTCAAAATTGGGGTGAGGGTGGGATTAAGTACAAGCACATTTGGCTTATAATACATGAACTGATTTTTATTAACTGCTTTTGCCCATGTAAAATGCTGATATTTACAGGAAACCTGGCCACCTTTATAATTATGATAAATGCACCGAGTACAATGCTAGAAGGTAATGTGTAGGCAATAGTGGGAATCTCTGACAAAGTATTTCTCAAAAGTGATAAAAGACTTATTTTTAACATTAAACAAGTTTAATGTATTTGTGGAATCAGGGCTTTTGGGTTTTAAATTTTGGCCAATCAGGATTCTAGGTGATCAACACACAGACTGCTCGTGAATTAGACTGTTTCATCTTTTACATTGTCTTATTCAGTTTACTAAATACTTTACTGCTTATGAGAGACTTAGGCCTTTGATAAACCAGTTGAGTGTTTAAAATGAACATCCACCCAGAGAACATGAAATACATAAAAATGATAAATGTTGGCTGTATTTTCACAGGTTTGACTTGTTTCTCGATAAATACAAATGAATAAACAACTAAAGGAGACCTAAGAATTGGCCATTGATTTTAAATATTTAATTTGTTCTTATAAACCTTGTTAATAAAAACCATAAATCCATGCTCTTGTCTCTTACTTAATGTCTTATGGTTTCTGTAGCATTTCCTCCCTACTGAGGATTTCAGAACAGGGATTTTTGTTGAGTTATTTTGAGAGAAAGCACACAGTGGAGGGGGAGGAAGAGAGAATCCCAACGTGGCTCCACACGGTCAGCACAGAGCCTGACGCAGGGCTCAAACTCAGGAACCGTGAGAACATGACCTGAGCCAGAACTTGAGTCAGACGCAAGCAACTGAGCCGCCCTGGCGCTCCTGGATGGATGGATTCAGCCCCATTTACCCATTTAATTTGGAGTCGTGGTCAGTTACCCCTGACCACTTTTATGCTGAACCTATACTATGAAGAAATCCCAAAGGAAAACTTGAAAGTGTTCTCACAAAACTAAGGTGATCACGGTCAACAACTATCTATCTTACGAGCATTTACTGGAAAGGCGGGGAGCAGTAAGACCTATGAGCTAAAGTCTAAAGAAGGCTTGGGAGCAAGCAGACAGGTGGTGTGTGTGAAAGGTTGTGGGGAAGGGGTACCCAGTTACAGTACACCGTGTTCAGCACTACAGGGCACAGTGTATTTGAAAAACAAGTCTAGGTTTTATTACAGTTTTACACAACCAGCTGTTCACAATCTTCAGTTAAAACATCGTGTAGTCACTGCTCATTACAAAATCTTCAAACCGTGAAAAACATTCAAAGAAAAAAGTACCGTGGCTCCTTAACAAAATGTCAAATGATGTCACTTGGGACGGGAAACTTAAATACACATTTACTGCACTTGAGCTAACTGGGATTCTCCTTCGTTTGCTTGTAGCACAGTACAAGTTTTAGTGCCCAGAGACTAAGTAGCTGAACCATTTCAAACTTAAAATATTTTGCATTTATCACTAAACACATGCTAGTCTTAAACAGGTGGACACATTTTTAAAGCAGAATACCTCCCAGTCAGTACCAGTGAGTCTCAAATAGTCTATCAACAATTTCCTGTGTTAACCCAACTTTGAAACCAATTCACTGCTGTTTGCTTTCTTGTGTTTGATGAGGGAGGTCTAAAGTTTGCATAAAACTCTACTTACGAGCTGACTTTAAGTTTTAAAAATACCTATAATTTTGAAAACGGTCTTTAAAGTACTTTTGAGTCCCTTTTTTTTTTTAACACCAATATAATTGAAAGAACCATTCAGACTTTTTAAAACAAAAGCATTTAAGTTACCATCTGCTTTTCTAACTTCTTGGCAAGACAAGCATCCCGAAGTCTCTGAAAGCAGGCTAACTGAATTCTTTTGTCAAGAGGGGAAACCAGGAAAAAGTAAGTATGTGCCATGTTCTCCGGCTTTTAAGATATGGCTTTAAATATGTAATATTTACCAGAAGTCTCACATTTTCTGCAGTTTTCCAGTGGACCTGCCTATGGAATACTGAAAACATAATGCTGTAAAAAATATTCCTAGTGACTGAATCAGTTAATTTAAAAAGAGGCAGTAGAGGGAGTTTTTTATTGAAGTATTCAGACAGGATCGTTTTGCAGGTGGTTGCCAAAATTAAGGCGATTCAGAGTATGCCATCTGACCAAACTTGGCTCTAAGAACAGCAGCCACGTTCCAGATGGTCACAGGTATGAAGACTATACGATCTCTAGCCCAGGCTAAACCACAGGGCGCCTATGCTGTTGAGGGAACTGAAAAGTCTGCTGTTTGCCAATGAGTGCACAAATCTGAAATGTGTTGTCACAAAGGATACCTGAATTTTAATTTCTTTTGAATACCCAATGGAAAGAAATACGTACAAAATAGTCTAGAAGCTTCATTTACTTTTAACTGAAGAGTTTGTGCTGTATCTGAAAGGGAAAGGTTTCTATCTGAATTTTAAGTAAAAGCTCAATTTTGGAGCTATATAAAAATCTTAAGGCTCATTGGCAAAGATAAATGATGAACTGTGACAGGAGAAAAATACATGGTTTATCTGATTTTTTAATGATTGCTGGTTGGTTTCTCAATGTTTGAAAACTGATGAGCCAAACAAAATGTCAAAATTTAAAGGGAATCTCCAACCGTGGAAGAAATCGTATCTTAATTTACGGTTATTTTCTGCCTTGTTCTGAAACACAGAAGAATTAGCCGTCGTCATACCTGTGGAAAATGGCCTGGAAGTGCTCGCAGAAGGGTTCTGGGGGCTAATGCTCTCAGGGGAGGCTGTTGTGTCCTGACTTTATGAAAGTGAGGTTTAACATGTGTTCCAAACTACCATTCGGGGCACAGAAGAAAGCTGGGTCCAGACAAATTTCTATTCAAAATGCTGCAATCTTGCTTGCTTCTCGAACACCACTCAAGTATGCCCCTGTAACAGTTTGTGGGAAATGCCTGTTTGTTGCCTGTAAGAAAAAAATTGAGTAACTTGAGATCACATGTAAGGAACTCAGACGATAAGCGAGACAGAATACAAGTGTGCAGACACTCTGATTCTCGAATACAGACCGACAGCGGGCCCTCCTCAGTGCTCATGTCAACACTCGACCCCCCCCCCCCCCCCCCCCCCCCCTGCCACCCTGCTTCACCCCTCCCGTGGAGGACTGGGCGGCACCCCTTAGCATATTGCCCACATACACACCACCTCCTGGAATGAAGAGTAATGAAGACACAATCCCTGTGCCACCTCCCCCCCCCCTCCCCCGGAAGCAGTCTCGCCATTGGAATCCGTGACGAGTGAGGCACAGAAAGCAAACCGACCCATCCGTGGCTGGAGTTTTGCTAGAGCGCTGCCACCGAGACAGTGAGTGTGTCAGCAGGGAGGGGACGGAAGGGGAGGGCTGTCCCAGAGGCTGGAGTGGGAACAGAATCCGCAAACTGGGACAAGCAGCAGACTGATCTGTGGCTTGGGCGCTGGTGGGGAAGGCAACAAGGTCTGGGGTGTAGCGAAGGGAGACTGTCACTGACGTGAGGAGAGCCGATCTCAGAAGATGGACAAGGGTACAGAGTGGAGGAAGTTCCGTGTGAACTAAAGTGCGTCCCACGTCACCCAGATTGATGGCTGGATGGAAGGAACAGCAGCCAGTGCCAAACACTTCAGTAACGGGGGGAATGAGCAGGAGGGAAGAACAGTTACTGGGGCGCTGGAGTGGTTCCAGTCTGTTAAGCGTCTGACTCTTGGTCACGATCTCAGTTTTTCAGGCCCTGAGGTGGGCCCTGCGCTGACGGTGCGAAGCCTGCTTGGGATTCTGTCTCCCTCCCCCTGCTCTCTTTCTCTCAAAATAAATAAACTAAAAAATAAATAACACTAGGAAAAATTCAATTACTAGCAAGGGATACAGAAAGGCAGAAACCTCAGAGAAAGGCTTTAAAAAATGTTTCAGGGGCACCTGGGTGGCTCAGTCAAGTGCTGGACTTCAGCTGAGGTCATGATCTCACAATTCATGGGTTCGAGCCCTGCACTGGGCTTTGTGCTGACAGCTCAGAGCCTGGAGCCTGCTTCAGATTATGAGATTATATGAGATTCCCTTGCTCTCTGCCCCTCCTCAGCTCACACTGTCTCTCAAAACGAAACATTAAAAAATTTTTAAATAAAAGTTTTAATATTTTCAATGTGAAGTAACAACTGTATTACACAAGCCTAACAGAGCCTCTCTGGGAGCAGTGGACAGTTGCTGTCTGGCATGCAGTCACGCCATGTTCCCACAAAGCTTTGCAGGCCAAGGACAAACCACACAGTCAGTTTTTAAATGACATTCTTTTGTAATCTCCCACAAATCAGGAAGAGGAAAGATAACTCTATTTTGGATGGTGCTAGAAGACCTGGGTGGTCCCAAACTGTAGCCCACAGAGGATGAGAGCAGATGGAAGAACACCGACGGTCTTCTTAACAGGGCTAAGTCTGGAGCAGGTAAGTGGGGGGAGGTGACCCAAAGCAAGCCAATTCATCCCAAAAGAACCTTTTAAACATCTCAGCCACTGGAAGTGTCCAGAAGGACAGATGCAGGGGCTGGGCACCAGTGAAAACGGAATGGGAAGAGCAATCTGGTTCCTCGCCAACTTCCCCTCCCCCACACCCAAATTCCCCGGGGGTCAGAGGCGGAGGTGGGGGTGAGGCACTAAGGAAAATGGGGATTCAGTCAGGTCTTGAAAACTAAGAGCAAGGCTCCAGAATGTTCCCAAAGAGCTACAGATAGATGTTGGGGATCCAACCACCCCTTGGCAAGCTCATGGGCGCTCTCAATAGGCTGTTTTTGTAAAAATGCCCTCATTCCAATCTGAGCAGACAGTCAACGATGGGATATTTGGCTAAGTGGGAGGTAGCAAACTAGGAACTCTGAGGAGCTGTTAAGCAAGAAGAGAGTGCTACCAAAGGAATCATCTGATGATGAGAAACTGCTCATAAAAGAGCCTAAATTTCAAAAGTCAATTCAAGGAAGACAGATCTCCCCACCACAAAAACAGGATGAGAAGACAGATATGGGTAATAGCAAAGGTGATCAGAAAATCAATTCAGGAGTTCCAACATATGTAACAGAGGATCTAGAAATAAGAGAAATAAAAAATGTGAGGAGAAAACGATCAGAAGTAAGAAATCAAGGACGGAAGGGTACGAGCTCATAGATTATAAGCAAGCAAAAAACTGGCGCAGAAAAACATGAAGTAATCAAAACAGCAAAACATTTCTCAACAGAAGTAAACCAAGAAAGGAGCCAGGCCACTTCCCACCTCTAGGGCGGCTATTAGCGAAACCCAGAAAACAGCACATTGGTGGTAAGACTGTGCAGAAATGGGAACCACTGTGGGGTGCCTGGGCGGCTCGGTTGAGCATCTGACTCTTGATTTCAGCTCAGGTCATGATCTCACAGGTTTGTGAGTTCAAGCCCCGAGTCAGGCTCTACGTTAAGCATGCAGAGCCCACTTGGGATTCTCTTTCACCCTCTCTCTCTCCCTCTCACACACACTCTCTCTCTCAAAATAAACATTTAAAAAATAATTTTAAAAATAAAAACCTGGAAAGTGGTAAAGAGGAGGCCCAGAG